TCCCTCTCATGCTGCCTATCAGCAGCGTGAAGTAACTAACATAGGTTGAATAAAAGACGGATTCCAGAAGTCGTCTCAACGAGCTTTATTACACATACTTCACCTGGAATGGAACTTTCTACAAACAAACTGAGGGCACCCCAATGGGCTCCCACCTATCTCCGGTTGTAGCCAAACTTTTCATGGAGAAATTTGAGACTAACGCGATCCAGACTGCCACTCTATGCTCGACCTTATGGAAGAGGTACGTAGATGACACTTTTGTCATCTGGCCACATGGCCGGCCTGCTCTAGACCAATTCCTCGACCACATCAATTCCATACACCCAGCCATCAGATTCACCATGGAAGTCAAAAAGATGGCAAGCTACCCTTTTTGGATGTCCTAATTAAAAGGAGGCCTGATGGTTCAATGAGCCACTCTGTCTACAGGAAAGCTACCCATACGGATGCTTACCTAAAACCGGATTCCCACCACCATCCATCCCAGAAGAATTCCCTCATGAAGACTCTACACCATAGAGCCCAATGCATCTCCGACCAGGAACACATTGCCAGTGAACTCAAGCATGTACGCCAAGCTCTTAAGGCTAATGGTTACTCCGACTGCACAATCCGCAAATCCATCACTCCAACCATCAAGAAGGATCCTGGTGAGGAGCCATTCAAAACCATCACCTTACCCTACATTGCGGGGGTCACAAAAACGATCTCCAAAATCCTGAATAAACACAAGATCCAGGTCCGATTCAACACAGTACATAAAATCCGTGATCTGGTCCCGTCTGTTAAAGATGTGGTTCCAGACATACAGTACCCTGGCGTCTACAAACTAAGTTGCTTCTGTGGCAGCAGTTACATTGTAGAAACCAAACGACATGTCTCGGACCGCATCCGTGAACATAAAGCAGACCTGAAACACGGTAGGACAAACACCTCAGCCGTGGCAGATCACTGTTACAATTCAGTGGGCTCACATGACATTGACTTCTCCAAGACAGAGGTTCTCTGCAAGGCATCTGGCTACCATGAGAGATTCGTTCATGAGACGATCCACATATACAAACATGGAGACAATTTCAACCGAGAAGATGGATTCTGGCTCAGCAATCATTGGAAGGACGTAATAAACCATTTCGGATCTTAACTGATTGTGTTCACGTTTACGGTGACTTTCAGACTGCAGTCCACTCACTGGCATTGACTATATATCTTTTGTATTCTCTGCAGGGAATGGAGTCTTTGCTCCACTGCAAGTCTCCCCACACCACTCTCCCATTGACATATTTCGTTGCTTCCTCTTAGTACCTTTCACGCGACGGTCAATGGTATAGTGTATAGCAGATTGTATAATAATAAATAGTATTAAAGTGTAATGTTTAATATAATGTATAAGGTAATATATAGTATCGTAATTGTATAGTGAATATACAGCAGTGTGGTATACATTAGGATGGATAGAATAATACATAGTGTAATATTACAATGTATAGTCTAAGGTATAGGGTGGTGTATAGTAATGCAGTATATAATTTAATGTTAGGTTTGTCTATGGCAGTATATAGTACGGGGTAGATCCGTGTGATGTAAGGAAAAGGTTTAGCTGGAGGCATATTATATTTTTTGCGACGTAGAATTGTAATGTATGACATACTCTTAGTAGCTCAGCTTATTGGAGAGTATATTTAGTATATTGATGATATTGATGTAGTTTATATTTTAGTTTTTTACGTGGTGGTTTAGCTGCAGCAGCTCCTTACTATTAAAATTCCTTCCCTTTATTACTGCTAACCCTACTTCCTCCCTTTGTTGCTGCGTATCCTACATAATGCACGGGCATAATATTACTTTGAGACCCCGCCCACCTCCTACACATTCCACAAGTAGTGACCAATCCCATATCTGCATTTTCCATAAATATGCTAAATTCCTCTGTTGATATGCAAATTCCTTTGTCAAGGTGCCCGTCCTCCTCTAACCCAGCTTAAATATATGCTGCCAAGCTTAGTGGTGTTCATTCAGACGCTGTCTTTCCGACAGACCTGTTCTTCATCTGAGGACGGCTGCTTGCGTTGTGGCCGAAACGTCGTGAGAATTGTATTTTATTATGTTTTATTTTTAATATTTTATTATTTCCCTTCTACGTGACTTTACCGAAAGAACCAAGAAGATGAATCCCTGCAGTCACGAAAGCTTTCAATCGAAAGATAAGTGAGTTATAAAGTGAAGGAATCTCAATTTAAACTATAAACGACTAAATACATATTTGACTGGATCCATGCATACATCTATTACTGGGTTTGGACAATACTTGCTTTTTGAGCAGCACAATAAATGATGCAATCTGAACCTGGTATTGTGTCATACATGATATGAATTGCAACATCTTATTTTGTTGTATATGTAGTGGGTTCCATGGAGACTTGAGACTTGACTTTAAAGGCAACACATTTATTTGAAGGCTCTCTAGGGAGGTATAGCCTCCGGGCTAACGTGCCGTATTACTGGGACTAACTCAGAGCCCTCTGGCTAAGGGTGACCTAGGGGAGGGTAAATGACCCGACCCAGCCAAGGTGCGGGTCTCGACCACTGGTCCGTGCTCGGCCCCGGCCCTTAAAAGGACGTCAGTCCCTAGGTCCCAGGGTCCTAGCTAGGGAGGCTATGCTGACCCGACCCAGCCAAGGTGCGGGTCTCGACCACTGGTCCGTGCTCGGCCCCGGCCCTTAAAAGGACGTCAGTCCCTAGGTCCCAGGGTCCTAGCTAGGGAGGCTATGCTGACCCGACCCAGCCAAGGTGCGGGTCCGACCACTGGTCCGCGCTCGACCCCGGCCCTTAAAGGGGTTCCAGGGTCCTAGCCTAGCTGGCCTTCTGTCTTCATCTTCAGAGCACTGCCAAGAGCCGACCTGAGAGACGTCTTTTATACACACCTCGGGGACTCTCCACCCCCGGTACCGCCCCTCTCTGGAACCTTCCAGGGGCCTCTGGAAAGACCCCACCAACCCCTCACCTGGGGTCGAGAAAGGGAACCCGGGCCTCTCCATGGTCCAGTTCTCTATCCCTTTGTGCAGGGTGGCACCCCCTACAGACCCCTGCTCGTAACTGCAGGTAAGTAAGCATAGGGCGGTGTGCGCATATGTATTTCCCACGCTACATCACCCCCCCCCCTCCGCTCGTAGCACCCAGCTGTCCCAGCTGTCAAATAACAATAAAAAAAGACTGGCGAGAACGAAAACGAGTATGTGTGCCTCAATAAAACCATTATCAACAAGAAAAACGAACATCCCTCATATAAATAACCCAACCCGCCTGTACAAATATACACTATATACACCAATATACAAAACTCACAGCAACACGACGCACCCCCCCTCCCCCCCCACATACGACGCGACCCATGTGAACCAGCCGAAAAACAGCGGAGGCCGGATGAGCATGGCAGTGTTCATGAAAAAGTTTTCGATTTGGATCGGGTTTTGGTCGATGGACCACCGTAAGCAGTGGGGGGAAGACGTGGCCGCGGGGTTGCATGAAGTGGAGGATGGCAGTCCTGCAGTGATGTGTCAGCTGAGCGGGAGGTGTCCAAAGTGTCGGTGCAGTGCACCGCCGAGGCGCTACTCCCGAGGCATCTGAGGGAGCAACAACATGGCTGGGCTGAAGGTTAGGCTCGGCGATCGCACGACTCGGCTCGTCGGACACGTCACGCCCTCGGCCCCCGCGTAGAGTTGGTGTAGTGTGATGAGGAAAGAAGGGTTTGAGATGTGATGGGTGCACAAACCAGCACCACTTCCCATGGCGGATCTTCACACACTGCGGTCGAACGACCCGCACAATTTCGACCGGGCCCTGGTGATGTTGACAGGGGCACTTGGGGGCAATGGAGCCACGCCCTGTTACCCACAGACCACTTGTGAGTGGAAACCTCGAGGTTCTGCAGTCGCTTGTTGGCCAATTAGCGGGCCTCCAAATTGTACTTCACCGCCTCTCGCGCCTCTACCAACTTTTGGACATTGGACCGAATATGTTGGGCGATCTTGGAATTTGGGGAGGCCTGCGTGACACGCAATTGAACATCCACTGGGGGATTGGCCTCTCTGCCATACATCAAATAAAATGGGGAAAACCCCGTGGACGCATGGGGTGCCATTTGGTAGGCAGCCAAAACCACGTGGATATGGAGATCCCAATCCTCTTGCAATTCGGACACCTGGTGGCTTGACATGGCGGTGAGCATCCTGTTTAGCCGCTCAACCATGCCGTGAGTTTGTGGGTGGTAAGGCGAGGTGCGAACTTTGTGTGTGCCCTACAGATTGCAAACCTCCCGTAGGAAGGTGGACCAAAAATTATTCCCTTGATCGGTCAGCAGCCGCTCCAAAGTGCCCTTATCCAGGACATAGCCCTGGAGAAAGGCCAGGCCATAGGCCACCGGGTGAAGTACTCTACCCTGTACCAATAGGTACTTATTACCGCGGGGAGTGACAGGAAAAGGCCCCAAGATATCAAGGGAAACCAGCTCATTCACGCTATAACTTGATTTGAAGCTTTCGTGACTGCAGGAATTACTCTTTGGTTCTTTCGGTAAAGTCACATAAAAAGAAAAGAAAAGAAGTAATAAAAAACAACGTTTCAATTGCAACACAAGCAACCGTCATCAGGTAGAACTAAATTTGAGAGAGAGACAAAACACAGACACGGAGTCACACAGACAGACACTCCAGAGACCAGGTTTACTTGATGGAACTTGAAATGAGACTGCCTCCCCCCGTCCCCCCACTTTTCCCCCATTCTTTCCCCAAAGAGAAAGCATCTGCCACACGTACCACATAACGTTATGGTCCTACACATCCACGTTGGTTTTCTGTCCGAGCAGCCTATCCCGCTATACACCACTCACCTGTCACTGAAGTTGTACACCGTGGTTGGATGAATCAAATGTTACAAAACACAATCTAGAATGAAAACTCTTTTATTTGAAACAAATATTTGTGTTTAGGTTGTTGTCTTTCTCTCGCACCTCCGTTTAGCGCGTTTGGCTACATATGGTGCGAAAGAAGTTCAAGATTCATAAACTACAACCCGTGGCCAGTCGACACCAACTACCACTTAGAAACGGGCTCAGGACAGCTGGGTAATAACGATGATGTAAACCCGTGCGTTATCATCACACAGGAGCAGCTCATTGCTCGCGTAGAGAGAGAGGAGAGGACTCAGAGGCACCAGGAGGAGGAACTTCTGATGAGCAGGATGGCAGCAGCACCAGTGATAGTTTTAGGCCCCTGTTTTTTTTTTTTCTGGTAAGTTTTAATCCCTCTGAGTTTATGTAATTAAAACAAATACTTTACAAGCAGTCTTTTCAATATTGTGGATCTTTAAATGTGTATGTTTTATTTTAACTTGCGTGGTGAAGTAGCATTGAACTCGTTACCGTACAAGTCAACAAAGCAAGTTGCACCAAAACACACGCACGCCATAAGCACTGCCTAGGAACCCTACGATCATGATCAAATATCGAACTCTTGATGGTGACTGCTTGCAGCAAAATGCGGTCTCGGGAGTAAATTGTGAGAGAAGTGGCATCATTGGGTCTTAGAAAAGCTGTTTGGTACAGACCCTACTGCAAGAAGAAGGAAGCAGAATGAGAATTCCAAGAGAGTTCATTAAACGGTTTTGAGATATCGATTGCTCTACTATGTTAATGAACACCTATTAAGTCCGGCATGGCAAACAAGGGGGTCGGTTGGCCAACACCCCGCCCGGCCACCTTTGTCTCCTAAGTTGCAATACTTACATATAATATAGGTTACTCATTTAAGACGGTCAATTTATTTGAGGCCCAGGATCAGCTCGGATAATTGTCACTGGTGTTGGCCGTGAACAGGAATAAAACTCGTGTTGCCGGGTTCGTCGAGCAGGATAGTAACCATGCACCACCGTTCCCCACTCGCGAACAAACACATACACACGAACCCACTTTGGAGCTACTACAATGTCTTTGAAGGATAGTTTCGACTAATCACCAGCTCCATGCTCAAATAACCATTTGACAATGTGAAGTCCAAGAAACCTGTTCCCTGCAGATCCACAATTGGATTGTAAATGAGTTTTTTTTCTGTAACAAGTTGCTGTTGTTCTTTGCGTGAAATGTTCTTAGCCCTCAGACGCGTTGACCAATGAACTCGTGCTTAGTGACTGATCGATAACGAACATCGTCTCACGTCCTGTGACCAACGATGGCCATTCTCAAATTCCGGCCTCAACATTCCAAACCAGCTGCTCGGTGAAGTCTCACGCAAGAGCGTGTGTCGTTAGAACGTTGGTTAATGGACAATAATCAAGGAACACGTCGGTACAGCGTCGTTAAGATGCTTGACTGGGTGGGAAGCACGACCTGGGGGATTGTTTCAAAGCCGGCTTCCCTGCGGCCCGCCGATGTTCACGGTGAGGTTGGTGTAGAGGGGGCTCATCGTCCGTTTCACCAGCAAGTAGTGCAAAGAATTCAGCCCGTCCCACTTCATCCGTAAAACCGCCCGCCGGATCAGGTTAAACCTGTGGAATAAAAAAAACAAAGATCCCCCCGTATAGCTTTTAACAGATTGTTCGGGTAAGTGCTGTTAGTGAGCAACGCCTATGAAGGCCGGCACGGCACACCTATGAGGGTGGCCACCACCACGCCCGGCCACCTTTGTCGTCCCAGTGGTCATGGGTCATGTTTGCGATGTTTACACAGCACACCTGGTAATAAATTGAGGCTGAGTCGACCAAGGTAGGCTCAGGACCACTTCAGATAATCGTCACAGGTGTTGGCCATGAGCAAAACCTAAACTCTGGTCACTGCTTTCATAGCACAGCATGCTAACCGCTATATTACTGCTCTGCACACAATCACGTTCACACACTAACTTTCACATTGGTTCACACACACACAAACACTCCCAGCACGATGCCGACTCATTACATCTAGCGGAGGATTGTTCCGCTGAAAAAAAGAGTTTTTGCGCTTGAGTTTGCAAGTGCGAGTTAGCATTTTAATCAATGTTAAAACATATTTCATGTAAACTGGTTCGTAAGTATACTCTTTCGTTCTGCTGGATATTTTTTTTCCGCCTGAGGACGACTGCTTGTGTTGCGATCGAAACGTCGTGATATATTATTTTTTTATTATTACTTTTTTCTACCTACGTGACTTTACCAAAGAACCAAAGAGTATCTTTCTTCTTTCTTCTTCTTATATATAAAAATCTCCGCACGCTTGCGCTTGCGGGGGATTTTGCTCTCGGACGGTGGGATTTAAGACCGAAATAATTTGCCAGCCGGCACGCCCTAAGCCCCGTGGTGGGAATAGGCTATTCCGTTTTCACGTCCGTAAATTTTAAAGTCGTTTAATGAACGAATTAGTAGCATTCTTATTTTAATTATTTACTTATTGCACGACATCGACCGTACCAACTCACGACAATTGCCTGGGGGGGGGGGCGGACTCTGCCAAGTGATGTGCGTTCGCTCCAGCTCACGGGGGACATTTTATTTTACGCCTTTAACATGCATTAAATATACAAATCACGCTGCCGATTTCTCTTCACAGTGTGATGTCCTCTTCCCCACCCCACCCCAATGCGTGCAGTCACTGCTATAAAGTCCTTAGATATGAATTTAATATTATTAAAGCGCTTACATAGTACTGTATTATTCTGCCTCAGGCGGGGATGGTGAGGGGGGCGGGAGTAGCGGCACAGCCAGCAGCCTGGCAATGTCTCACCTCCTCCGGCTTGCCAATCTAGGCGAGGCCGCGGGCTCTGCACGGGACGAGGCGTCACCACGCCAATGTAAAGTACAATTTTATGCATCTTTCGCTAAGAATTGAAGGTTTATTGTTTACTATTATTAAACAAATAAGTTTACAAATATTACAATGATAATGTTTGTGTGCATGTGAGTCGATGGGTTTCTATGTGCGTGGCTCCATGTCTGTGTGTAAGTCCATGTGTGTGTCTGTCTTTTTCAAACGGACAACACCCCATGTGTACGTACGTACAAGTGTTTGTGTGTGTGTGTCAGTCCATTTGTGCGCGTATCAATCGCTGTGTGTGTTAGTCCACATGTGTGTGTAAGTCCATACCTGTGTGTTTCACTCGATGTGTGTGTGTCTAAGTGAATGCGTGTGTATGAGTCGATGTGCGTGCATGGCTCCATCTGATTGTGTAAGTCAATGTGCGTTTGTGTGTCTATGTGTGTCAGTCGATGTGTGTGTGTTAATCCATGTGTGTGTATCTAAAGTAGATGTCTGTGTGTCACAGTCCATATGTCTATGTGTGTGTAGGGCAATGTGTGTGTAAGTCCATGTGTGTGTGTCTAAAGTGCATGTCTATGCGTGTGTGAGTCCATATGTGTGTGTGTGTGTAAGTCCATGTGTTTGTGTGTGTCAGTCGATATGTCTGTGTGTGTCAGTCCACGGGCGTCTGTGTTGTCGCTTTGTGTGCATGGCTCCATGTCAGTCAGTGTAAGTCCATTTCTTTGCGTGTCTGTAGGTCCATGTGTGCGTGTGACTGAATGTGCTTTATTGACCTGCTCAAGGCCTATGATACCATCAGTAGGCGTGGTCTCTGGGTTGTTCTTCATGCTTTCGGAGTCCCTGACCAGCTGCTCATGATCATCAAAGATCTTCATGATGGTGAACGGACCCGGGTAAAACTACCTGCCCAGGAGTCAGAGCCATTCCCTGTACACCTTGGGGTGTGACAGGGATGTCCTCTGGCTCCCTCATTGTTTAACATATCTTTCGACCACGTAGTTCGTGAAGCCTTCAATGGCTGTACCTGAGGAATTACCATATGGTACAGAAACAATGGGAGGCTGATCGATGCCCGGGTGCGGTCAAGGGATGGCTACCTATTGCTCAACCATGTTAGGTATGCCGATTCTCTGGTCATTGCTGCTCACTCAGAAGAGGAGTTGGAGGCACTGCTGCTGAACTTGGAGCTTGCCACTAAGAGGTGGGACCTTACCATCAGCCCCACCAAAACTAAGCACCTGCTTGGGTATTTTGTACCATCGGACAATTCACCCCCATAACTCACAATTGCTGATGCGGCAGTTGTGGAGAGATTGGAGAGATTCCCATACCTGGCCAGTGTGCTCATAACCGGCTCCGGTTTAACAGCAGAGGTTTCACTCCAAATCAGTCGAGCGCCATATCTTTTCATCGGCTGCGTTACGCTGTGTGGAAGCTACCTGGTCTCTCGCTCCGCATGAAGCTCCAGGTCTTTTCGGCCACGGTAATTCCCTCCCTTCTCTACGCTTGCAAAACATGCACCCCCCTAATGGAACAACTTCATCGGTTAGAAACATTTAGGCTGGCCTGCTAACGATCCATCCTGGGTTTCACCATATGTGTGTGTGTGCGTCTAAGTCATTGTGTTTCTACGTGTGGGTCAATGTCTGTGTGTAAGTCCATGTGTGTGTCTGTCTTTTTCGCCCGGGCAACGCCGGGTACTTACCACTAGTGGATTCATAAGTGTGGGTGTTCATATGTCAGGTATTAGTAAGTTCAGGACTGCCTGTATTAATTGACAGCAACTCATGTTATGTAATCTACCACGCACCAAAACCTTAATTTTGTGAGCTGTCAAAGAGCTAAAGCAACTTGGTCTTCTTGGAAATTACTGGGTTTTGTTAATAAAAAAAAAAATAATATGAATAACGATGACGTCTTCTTGTAACTCTGCGTCACCACCACACAGGATTCTAATCTTTACAGAGCACCTTCACACTCAAGGCGCCTAATAGAGTAAAAAAAACGGTTACAGAATATAATTTTTATACTGCAGCGGCATGCAAGGGTTGAGGAATTAATAAGTATAACCCGTAAAAACAAGTTTTTCACTATAAATCCTTTATATGCGTGGCAGCGAACTTAATATAAAGGATTTAAAAATATATTCGCCTGTGGAGGACGCGGGGATCGATCCCGCGACCTTTGGCATGGGAAGCGAGGGCGCTACCAACTGCGCTACTCCGCCACGGCCTGTGGAGGGGTTACGCTCTGGGCTCTTATACTGTGATGTTCAGCCAAAGCCATGAATGAGTTATATTTGAATATATGTAAAATACAAATTTTTTGCCTAAAAAGTGTAAAATTTTGGGAATTTTTTTTCACGAACATTAATTGTCTGGCACAACGAGTCTGTGTGGAAAATGTCAGTTCGATTGGATCACGGGAAGTGGGTTAAAAAACGACCGAAAGATTTGCACAGTCGTAAGCAAGCAAGCAAGCACGCAAGCAAGCAAGCACGCAAGCAAGCAAGCAAGCGAACTTAATATAAAGGATTTAAAAAGGATACAGGTGTAGGGGTGTTAAAGAGAGGGCCCGTTATGCATGGCAGCCTATGGAAAACAAACACAGTGGGCGGGGCTACGTAAGTGCACGAGCAAGTGCCCTCTACGACGTCCGAGCCAGACACCCTGGGGGGGGCTGGTTCGAACGTTATGATCCCCCGGGGCCCCACCCCTCAGGGAGGGGTTGGGTATAAAAGGGGATGTTTCAAAGGGCTCGGCAGTTATGTTTAAGCTAAGGGAAGAAGATTGAAGACGTCTTAGATAGAGCCCTGGACTCCCCTGGTTCGATGTCCTTTTCAGGGCCGGACAGGATTGAGCCAGCGGCGTGGTCCCGGAAGCCAGAGCCGGTGCTCTTGTAAGAGCTGGTCTGGAACTCCGGGTACCGGGCCCAACTTACCAGTGTTGGGCCAGTTAGCCTCCCCTAGCCCATTAGTGGAGGATTCGGGGCTAGGACAGAGTTAGCTAGGGGTGTATCCCGAGTTATACGGGTGAGGGGGCCGATACCCCCTCGAGTGTGTATATGCCCACTGTCATATTGTGAATAAACATACGTGTGCCTCAACCTCGGCGTCAAGCGTCCTCACCGGTACTTCAACTGGTGTCAGAAGTAATTCGAACATGGACACGCGGAAAACAGCGCGGGCCAAAGTACCGCAGGAGGAAGACACTGCCGAGATCGTCGAGCCCGAGACGGCTCCACAAGACAAGGTGCAGCCGGGGCCTGACGCCTCCTTACCGGGGCATCGAAATGAAGAGGGGCCGCAGCCAGACGCGTTACGGCTGGCTCACGGGAGGCTGGCGGAGCTGCTGTATGCCGCTGCCGCCACGCTGGAGACCATCACGCGACTAGGGGCCGGTGATCCAACACGGGGCGAGGCGAGCCAACGACCAGGGCGCCTTCCCGCCATTTCGGAGCAGTCCGAATTTGAAATTCCCGCCATCGACGCTACAGCTGTTCGGGGCGTGGCCAGCCTAGACATCCGCTCCGACATCGCCTTCGCTGAAGCTGCAACGTCATCACAAGCGCGACAGGCGATCCCATCGGCCGTTCGCACCGACGCACAGCCGAGTGGTGTTGACATCAGCCTGCGGGAGTCCACAACGACCGCTGCGCTTCATCAGAGACTGCCCCCGCTGAAGGAGTTCATCGGCGCGGAGGGGGACTGGGCCGGTTTTCGCTGACGTTTCCTCGCCCATCAGGAGATGGCGAAATG